ACGCAATCACACTTTCTTGTAATATTTTAAAGCAGTTTGTATTTATCATTTATAGAGATTTTTTGAATGTCTTTCAAAATTTTTCTTGGACTTTGGCCGTTCTATTGTTTGAACTAGAACAACTTAAAAGATTCAAAGAAAGTTGATTAAGTAGAAGCAAAATGTCAAGAAATAATTTAATCTTTTTGCATTATATACAAGATTCAAAGCCTTTATGGAAATTAATCCACACAGATTTTTGTCACATGAGAAATTATTTTAGAAAATAACTTTATTGACTATAGGGTGGAGCTCTTTTGCGTCTCTTTAAAACATGACATTCCAGATATTGCAGTTTAAATACTACATTCCCATTTTTTACTTGGTTCTTATTTGAACTTCATTACCTAATTTGTATTTTTTACATTTGATCAAACTGAACTGCACCACATTGACAGTTAAATTAAAAGTCAGAGTTCACCTAATCACGTGCATGAAAAGTGTTTTTTTACATTTTTTTTATTCAATAATAAACCAGCAACACATTTAAAGTAAAACACTTTTCAACACAGTAAATTAAATTGGTATACTCAACCATAATCACCAAAATACAACAAGTAAATTTACAACCCAACAACAACAACAACACAAAAACAAAACAATTTTTATAACAAAATTATTTGATTAAAATACATGACACCCTTGTTAAGGCTGGTGTTTGTGTAAATGTATGTTTTTGACGTGAATGACAGGCGCTTTGCATTTTTGCTTGGAAGTACTCATTGAAAATTCAAAAAGACAAGTAAAAGAATTAAATAAGTAAATAAAAAAGGGCCATTAAATAAGAAACAAAAGAATATTTTCTCGTGTCATTGCTTAAAATGAAAATTGTAAGCAAAATATGTGGACAGCTATGAGTGTTTACCTCTGGAAACAACCAAAGTGATTAAAAAAGGTCAACAGTGACGACATCTGGGAAGTATGGGTCTGGTTCTGTAATATTTGTTTACCTTCAGAATACCTATAGCCTATTGCAGGCCTGTCACATGACTAAAGCTGTTATGTGGTTTTCAGCAGATTCAGTTGAGTGCTTTGTTTACATTGATAGCTTACCCACATTTCAGAAATGTATTGAATATGTGTGAAAATTTACTGGAGTAAACGTCGAAGTTCATGTTCAGAAATCCAGGTAAAAAATCCAACAAAGTTAAGACAGGTCCTCTGGACAGTTTCTTTGTGTTGAAATGTTTCATCTTTCATCCAAAAGGTCTGAGTGACTAGCGGCCAGTAGCCCTCACCTCGTTGTCATTAAATGCTCCGAAAGACTGGTCACCCACATCAAAACAACCATCAACATCAACGAGGACCCTCATCAGTATGCATACTGCGAGACTCGATCAATAGAGGACGCCATCTCCTCTGTGGTCCAGACTGGTCTCACCCACCTGGAGCAGAAGGACTCTTACGTCCGTATGCTCTTTGTGGACTTCAGGTCTGCCTTCAATACCAAGATCCTCCAAACCCTGATGGACAAACTACTCACACTAGGA